TCATTCAAAACAAGCATCTTCACTGAAAGTGTTTTTTTTTTTTTAAAGATTTTATTTATTTATTAGAGAGAGAATGAGAGAGAGCAAGCACATGAGAGGGGGGAGGGTCAGAGGGAGAAGCAGACTCCCTGCCGAGCAGGGAGCCCGATGCGGGACTCGATCCAGGGACTCCAGGATCATGACCTGAGCCGAAGGCAGTCGCTTAACCAACTGAGCCACCCAGGCGCCCCCTGAAAGTGTTTTTTAAGAATTTAATTGTGACTTTGTTACCTTAGGACAAACAAACTGGAGTTGGCCAGGGAGGGACAAGGGAGGTATGTTCTACTTTTTGACCTTGGTAGTAGTTACACTGTTCACTTCCTGATTATTTGTTAAACAGTATATATATATATATATATATATATATATATATATTTCATGCCCTTTTCTATGTATATGTTTCACCAAAAAAGATAAAATAGTACATATTTTTAAATAGCTTCCTTAAGCAAATTAAATAAAGATCTCACTTAAATTTATTTATTCTACCTGTCCTTTTGTAAAGATGTTAAGGGGCAGATAGAACAAAAGCAAAAATGAATGAAATATTTGAGTTACTACCATTTACAGCTTTTGAGAAAAGTCACAACGTAGCTAAATTAAAACATATTTCCAAGTAAAGTATTAAAAATTAATACGTTTTAGAGGCGCCTGGGTGGCTCAGTCGGTTAAGCATCGGACTCTTGGTTTCAGCTCAGGGCATGATCTCAGAGTCCTGGATCAGCCTACGTTGGGGCGCCATACTCAGCAGGGAGTCTGCTTCCGCTCTCCCTCTCCCTCTGCCCCTCCTCCCCATGAATAAATAAATCTTTAAAAAAAACTTAATACGGGGGCGCCTGGGTGGCTCAGTTGGTTAAGCTACTGCCTTCGGCTCAGGTCATGATCCTGGAGTCCCTGGATCGAGTCCCACATCGGGCTCCCTGCTCGGCAGGGAGTCTGCTTCTCCCTCTAACCCTCCCCCCTCTCATGTGCTCTCTCTCTCATTCTCTCTGTCTCAAATAAATAAATAAAATCTTAAAAAAAAAAAAACAACTTAATACGGTTTAATAGCACCCATTCCCTCTTTCTCTAAATTTAAAGATTCCTATATATAAAATAGAAAAGGCACAAATTCATCTCCTTTTTATTTGGTTTATATTTTCCAGGATTTTTAAGTGTCTAAAGAAATGGCACTTTCATGGTGTCCTTTGATTCTGGGACCTATAACACTTTCTTTCTATTCCTTCCCAAATACATCAACTGTGCCTTTATTTGCATGACACCACCTCCTCTGGTGAGTACAAGCTAGGGCTCTGAAAACCCCTCTTCACTCTGCAGTTAGAAGCTATGCTTTCGAATAGTTAACACCATGCTCGTGTTCAATGTGCTGAGAGTACAGTTCTGGAACAGTGATTCTACGGCTTGAGGCCAGCTCAGAGGCCCCCCAAACAGACTGCCAATAAGACCACCTCTCTCTGCGAAGCTGGCAGGACTGATTGTCCTACTTGCAAGAGGGCAGTTATTTATAGCAGTGTGTCTTTAGGTCGGCATGGTTTCTCCAATTTCAAGTTTATCACTGCCTTATGGATAAACAAACAACATCATTGTTCCTATTTCTTAGATCAGAAATAGAAACTCTCTGAGGGGACGCTACCCTCTGAATTTGGCCTAGGTCTTCTTCCCTCATACATTCTCCTTTCAGAGCTGTCAGTCTTCCCTCACAACCCACCATAACTAAATATGTTCCTTTTCTGGTTCAAAAAACACAGGACAGTGATTCTTTAGTTGTCAGTTCTTCCAAAGTCCTTCTTAAGGTAAGAAAATTCTTATTTCAGCTAAGAATAACCCAACGCTGGTCTATTACCGCTGCAACAACTCTCAAAAGAGCAGTACAAAACCTCCCAAAGTCATTAAAGACTTTTTCTCTTTCTTATTAAGGCACCCAGAACACATAATATTCCACCAAGCCAAAAGGACTGATTCTCTTCATGGAGTAGAATAGCAATTGGCTGTTACTTATTAAATTCCTACAGCAATGAGCAATGATTTGCTTTCTCGTTTTGTTTCTCTTTGAATAGTAGATGAAGTTGATTTTTTTCCAAGGCTGCTTCTCATCACCAGCATTCCTGATCCTTGACCTATGCAGCTGTTAATATGCTACACACATATGCCTGGCCTCCTGAACAACCAGGGCGGTTAACCTTTCGGTTTTCTCCAAGTCAGTTCCTATCTTGTTAGTGAAATTGATGTTTTCTCCTTCTAAACATAATAATTTTATCTGGTATAATACTACATATATGATTCATTGGTTTTTATGAATCTTTTTCTCCCCAAGGGTTTCTGGGCCCATGGGTTCTCATGTTCTAATTGAGAAAGGCATGTTCATTCATGGTAATTCCAAAAGGTGGGCTACCATAGCTACTTCACAAACACAATTATTACCTCTTCTGCCTTTGGGCATGGGTAATTGTTGGAGGCCATGTTTTACCTTTATTTTCAAAGAAAAGTGAATTCCTTTGACTGAATGTAGGTGAAAGCTTACATTTTCTGCAGCTAATGATTAAAAAGTAAAATACTGGACACTGTATCAAAGCACACTTTGTTCTATCTGTGTTCAAAGGGACTTCTCCATATTCATAACTCACCCCGATCACTTTGTACTGTAATTGCCTATTAACCGTCTGTACTCCTCAAAGACAGGAAGCTCCTGGAAGGTAGGGACTGTATCATAATGACTGTTTTATCTGCAGGACACATGCTCTGGCAGATGGTATACACTCAGTAAGTACTTCTGTTGGTGTGTTAGTACTGCATTCAATTCAAGTCTAATTCTTAATTAGCCACAGTTTTAGACTAACTGGCACACACCATTGCCCCAACATTTATGAAATGACTTCTAATCAGACTTTATCACAGTTCAAACAGATATGCCCAACTTCAAATACCTAATGATCTCTACCTAAACACTAAGCATCTTTATGGGAGGCAACAGAAACAATGCTAACCCTGTGATTTGAATCTTTTTATTGATTCAGACTCAGCTACTAACTAGCGGTAACCTTTGGCAAGTCGCTTTAACCACACTGGATCTTGTGCCCTGAGAGACTGAAGCGGGAAAGTGGATTAAATGGTCTGGAAGTCCCTGGCTGAGCCCAGCTCTAAAACTCTGAGGAGGCATGAACCGGTGAGGGTACTACTAACATAGCAAGCCCTTGTTAACACTAGAGGGAGCTGCACCCATGTCATTACTGGGGTGGTGAGGAAGACTTCAAGGCAAAGCATCTTTAAATTGGAAGACTGGCTCTCCAGAGTGAGAGAAACGAAGTATCAGGCGAGAGACCCCTACCGTTCCTGCAGCCACCACACACGCTCTCTGCCATCACCTCCCTCTTACAGATGGCCCGGCACCTCACACTTGACTTTCATCAGCACACCTTCAGAGCTTTAATTCTGATTCCAAAAGAATCAAGGTGGCTTGAGTCCTTCCTATAGATTTCTTTCCCCATTCGGTCTACTTTCTTTCTTAATCAAACTAACAAAAACAACAAAAAAGCAAAGTGATTAATGCTATTATTGGAAAAGCCCCAGGAAATGAGATGGAGGAGGAGAAAGATTCATATCACACTGAAGCTAGGGGCCTGGGAAAATCAGTAAACTATAGCTGAATTCATTAGCAGCTTGCCACTCAAACCAAAGCTACCATAGCTACTTTGACAACAAGAGGAGCACTGAAAAAAGAGGAAAGATAGCAAGGAAAAGAAGAAATTGACATAGCTCTGCAGGGCAGGAGCCTGAATGCCTCCCTAAGAGGGAATCCGGTCACTGCCAGGCCGGGCTCTGCGGTAAGAAGTTTGCAGCTGCTGAAGTGATGTCATTAGAGGTAACGGGGTCACATTAGGCATTTGGCAAGAAAAATGCCAAGTGACCGGATAAGGCAATGGAGGATGGGGTGGGGAAGGAAAAAGAAAAAGCCTTTCTAAAGCTAAAGCTTATTCTGAAGTTATATACATACACTCTCCTCCCAGCTCCAAAAAATGTATGGCCTTGAAAAGGTATGACCTAGGGGCGCCTGGGTGGCTCAGTCGTTAAACGCCTGCCTTCGGCTCAGGTCATGATCCCGGGGTCCTGGGATCGAGCCCCGCCATCAGGCTCCCTGCTCCGTGGGAAGCCTGCTTCTCCCTCTCCCGCTCCCCCTGCTTGTGTTCCTGCTTACGCTGTGTCTCTCTCTGTCTTATAAATAAAATCTTCAAAAAAAAAAAAAAAGGTATGACCTAAACCATTATGGAACAAGTGAAATGAAGAATCCAAACCCCTCCATTGTATCAACTTCTGTTTCCGTGTGCCCAGAGGCACAAGGACATGCTAACCTGACAGAGACGGCATAAATCATGGATATTACAGAATGTGGTCTGTAGGAGAAACATAAATGCAATCCTGAAGAAGCCTTTTTATGGAAATTTCATAGATTAATTTAACACTCAGGAAGCAAAGCCTCAACTGTCAGAAAGAGACCACCTACTTTTCAAAACATGGGCTATTCCTGAGTAAAAACAGATTACAAAACAACTTTAGAGAGGGACTGTGGGTGAAGAAAAAAGTCTACTAGAACAAAACAAACAATTCTTTTTCACTTAAAAAAAAAATTGCAAACTCAGACCTCTAGAGGTAAAATACAGAGTAAAACTCACCAGGTTAAAATCAACGTATTCCTGTGAGTCCATGTAGTCAGGGTACTTGTTTCTGAACTCACCAATTTCAAGTACTCTAAGAGATATCACAGCTTCAACAGATTCAAAAAGATTTCTCTTCCTTTAGGACATTAAAAAATAATTTTTTTTTTTTTTTTAGCCAGGCCTCTGAATCAATGATCCTCATGAGAAGCATGAGAAAAATATACTTTATTGTTAAAAGGAGAACGACTTGTTTTCCTCGTTTTAGGACACATACCAAAGGATTTCCAATTCACCCTGCTACGTACTGACCTTTAAAATGTTTCGCCCATCAAATGATTCTCTCTCCTTGAAGATGTATTTCCCATCCGCTGTGTAGAGATTGTACCTGCCTTCAGCTGTAAATATTTCAAAGATAATGTTATAAGAGAAGCTTGGGTTATTTACATTTGTTTTCTTTTGGGTTTCTATAGTACAACTAGCAAAATCTGTACTATCTGGAACATGGCTTAATAGGAGGGAAAAACATCAGTCTGAGTCAAGAGGCCCAGAGTCCAGCCTCAGCTCTGTCATCAATTCAGTATACATTTATTCATTCAACACCATCCAAGTACTCAAGGTACGTTACCTATGTAATTACCCATATTCTTTTTTTTAAAGCATAGTTGACATACAATGTTATATTAATTTCAGGTGTACAACATAGTGATTTGACAATTCTATACATACTCAGTGCTCACCATGATAAGTATAGCCACCATCTGCCACACACCATCTGTCATACAATGTTATTACAATATTACTGGCTGTCTTCCCTATGCTGTACTTTTCACCTCTGTAACTTATTTATTTTATAACTGGAAGTTTGTACCTCTTAATCCCCTTTACCTATTTTGCCAACGCCACCCCAATCTCCCCTCTGGCAACCACCAGTTTGTTCTCTATATTTATGCATCTGCTTTTGTTTTTTGTTTGTTTTTTAGATTCTACATATAAGTAAAGGGGTGCCTGGGTGGCTCAGTCAGTTAAGCATCTGCCTTTGGCTCAGATCATGATCTCAGGGTCCTGGGATCGAGCCCCAAGTCAGGCTCTCTGTTCAGCAGGGAGTCTGCTTCTCTCTCTCAAATAATAAATAAACAAATAATCTTTTTAAAAAATGTACAGATTCTATATATAAGTAAAATCATTTGGTATTTGTCTTTCTCTGATTTATTTCACTTTGCATAATATGCTCTTGGTCCATCCATGTTGTCACAAATGGCAAAGTTCATTATTTTTTTGGCTGAGTTGCATTCTGTTGGGTATGTATATACATGTACACACACACCCACACATCTTTACCAATTCATCAAAAAGACAAGAAATGACAAGTATTGGCAAGGACATAGAGCAAAAGGAAACTTCATGCACTGCTAATGGGAATGCAAACTGGAGCATGAGTATGAAGTTTCCTTAAAAAAAAGTAAAATAGAAATACCATACAATCCAGTAATTCCACTTCCATCTTTAAAGAAAATGAAAACACTAATTCAAAAAGATATATGTATCCCTATGTTTACTGCAGAATTATTTACAATAGCCAAGATATGGAAGCAGCGTAAATGTCCAACGGCAGATGAATGGATAAAGAAGATGTGGGGGTGTGTTTGTGTGTAAAATGAGCCATATTCTTAGGCAAATTATGTCTCCTCTATGGACCTCAGTTCATTTACACAGTTACAGGTTAAGACTAGGTGATCTCCAAAGGTTCCTTGTGGTCTAAAAACCCAAGATTTGTATAAGCTATATGCATTTTTAAGTATGTAAAAATATACAAAAATTCACACATTAAGTACTCAAAATGCTGGTGACATTGATTTGGGTTGCAACCAACATGAAGTGGGTTGGTTTAAGGACTCCCTCCAAATGAGAGAACCCCTTTCAGTTGCAATCAAAGGTATCTTTACAGACATTCTACACAGAAATGCAGCAAATCTATGACCCTGTATTAATTTAGCTTGCTTATCCCAAAAGACATCCTTAAAGTATAGCAGGAAAAAGGATTTCAAAGGAAAGGGATGACAGGTAAGAAAGAGTGAAACACCTTATTCTATGCCCTTTTCAAGTAAAAATTCAACCAGAGAAGAATCCAAGGTATAGGAAATTCAAAGCATCCTTAAGAAACATTTAACCCTCAGAGTATTTTCTAAAATATCAACCCTTTCTTGCCCACCAACAGACACTCAAAAATATTTGTATTTCCACTTCTGATATGCTCTTTTACTATATATATCGATGGAGACTACCAAGTCAGAATTGGTAAAGTATATCTAGGCCGCTAACGCCATGAGCACAATATATGTTAGCCAGCCCACTGGAATTACACTTCAGTAACTTCTCATGAGAGAGTATTCTCTTAATCAAAGATCCCAATACCATGTATATTTCACAAATTAAAAACAGGTCCCCTGTTAAGAGATGTGAAACTTTAAAGATTCATTTATTTATTTGAGAGAGCGAGAGCATGCACGTGCATGCACACTTGGGGGGGGGGGGCGGGGAGAGGGGCAGAGGGAGAAGGAGAGAAAATCCCAAGCAGACTCTGCACTGAGCACACAGCCCGAAGTGGGGCTCAATCTCACGACCCTGAGATCATGACCTGAGTCAAAACCGAGAGTCAGACACTCAACCCACTCTGCACCACCCAGGTGCCCCAAGAGGCGATGTGAAACTTTAAAGTAAATCCATACTAAACAAATATCAATTAAAAAGCAGTAATGAGGAGCACCTGGGAGGCTTGGTCAGTTAAGCGTCCAACCCTTGATCTGAGTACAGGTCTTGATCTCAGGGTCCTGAGTTCAAGCCCCTCATTGGGCTCCATGCTGGGCATGGAGCCTACTTAAAAAAAAAAAAAAGGCAGTCATGATACCTGAAGATTGAAATGGTTTTTTTGTGAGGGCGGAGGAAGAGATTATCTTAAGCAGGCTCCACACCCAACGCAGAGCCCCACGCAGGGCTTGATCTCACAAGTCTGAGATCATAACCTGAGCCAAAATCAAGTGCTGGATGCTTAACCAACTGAGCCACCCAGGCGCCCCTGAAGACTGAAATGCTTAATGATAGGTTCAAAACCTGTAAGTTGCATTAGCCATCAGGGAAAAGCAAATCAAAACTAAAATGAGATACTACCTCACATCTAAAATGATGGCAATAATCAAAAAGATAGATAATAACGAGTGTTAGCAAAGATGTGGAGAAAATGGAACCCTCGTTCACTGCTGGTAGGAATGTAAAGTGGTGCAGTCACTTTGGAAAACAGTCTGGAAGTTCCTCAAAAAGTTAAACACTGGTTACCATAGGACCCAGAAATTTCAATCTTAAGTATATACCCAAGAGAAGTGAAAAGATATCCCCATACAAAAACTTGTAATTGTTCAGAGCAGCATTAACTCTAATAATCAAAAAGGAGAAACAATACAAATGTCCATCAACTGAGGAATGGATAAAATGTGGTATATCCACACAATGGAAGATTATTTAGCACTAAAAAGGAAATGAGGTATAATACATGTTATCACATGGATGAACCCTGTAAACATTAGGCTAGGTGAAAGAAACCAGTCACAGAACATCACATATTGCATGAGTCTATTTATACAAAATATCCAGAAAAGGCAAATTCATAGGACAGAAAGTAGACTGATGGTACCTAGGACTAAAACTTTAGGAGGAAATGAGGAGTCACACTGCCAATGGGGTTTCTGATGAAAATGTTCTAAAACTGATCATGGTAATGGTTGTGTAACTCTGACTACACTAAAAATCACTGAATTACATTATTTTTATTTTGTTATTTTTTTGAAGATTTATTTATTTATTTGAGGAAGGGAGAAAGCGTGTGTGCACGTGTGCACATGTGAGCAGGGAGAGGGGCAGAGGGAGGGGGAAAGAGAGAACCTCAAGAAGACCTCCCACCAAGTGCATAGCGCGATGTGGGGCTCAATCTCACGACCCTGAGATAATGACTTGAGCCAAAATCAAGAGTCGGATGCTCAACCGACTGAGCCACCCAGGCGACCCTGAATTATATATTTTAAATGAGTGAATCATATAATATGTGAATTGTACCTCAATAAAGGTGTTATATTCAAACTACCTCTAAGTAGGAAAGGATAACTAGACTGTGTGAGGCGAATGTGATAACCACTACACTACGGAGGATAACTAGACGTGAACACAGAACATTTTCTTACATAGAGCTCTACTGCTAATAGAATATAAATCTGGATCCACACAATTTAGAAGATACAGATTCCCGCATAATTCAACTCTTTTATGTCAAAAGGTTATTAATAATGGAATATCTTAGGAGTTCTGAAGTAAGATTTAAAGACTAGGACATTTTCAGAATGTACTGCTGATAGCATTAAATGTCTAATAAAATACTGTCTATACCTGCACTGTCCGAATTAGTAGCCTCTAGTCACATGTGATTATTTAAATTTAATTAATTTAATTAAAATGAAAAGTTTACTTCCTCAGCCTCACCAGCCACCTCTGCTCAATAACTACATGTGGATAGTGGCTACCATATTGGACATCACAGGTACAGAATATTTCCATCATCACAGGGAGTTCTACTGGATGGTACTGGATACAATATATCTTCTGAACCAAAGAATTTAGAGTATACTCTAGAGCTCTAGAACTTTACATAGTGATGTTAAAATGTACATCACCTCAGAGGATCTAAGTATATTTCCAAACTTAAAACTGACCATCCAGAACAAAATAAATACCACAAACTCCTTTAAATGTTCCCACTGGACAAGGTACATACATATACAAATATAAAATAGTCCAGAAATTTTTTCCCAAAAATTCCAAATATTCTTCTGCAATACTACTACCCAAATGAAAAAAAAAAAGTATTCCATCAGAACAAGTATAGAGTTTTGGATTCTTTTTTTTTTTTACCCAAATGAAAAAAAAAAAAGTATTCCATCAGAACAAGTATAGAGTTTTGGATTCTTTTTTTTTTTATTTATTTGAGAGAGAGAGAATGAGAGAGAGCACATGAGAGGGGGGAGGGTCGGAGGGAGAAGCAGACTCCCCGCAGAGCAGGGAGCCCGATGCGGGACTCAATCCCGGGACTCCAGGATCATGACCTGAGCCGAAGGCAGTCGCTTAACCAACTGAGCCACCCAGGTGCCCTAGAGTTTTGGATTCTATTAAGTACCCAAACAAGAGTCTATGGGCTTTGACTTAGTCATTTGAACCATTTTTGATCTCAGTACTCCCAAAGGTAAAATAGTGATTTATTTAGAAAAATCTTAAATAAAATACAATCTAACATCACAAAACATTAACACTAGAACCAAAATGTGGACAGTTACACATCTCTTAGTCCTACAGTGGCTCTAAGAAAATCGGGTTAGAGTGCCTGGGTGGCTCAGTCGTTAAGCATCTGCCTTCGGCTCAGGTCATAGTCCCAGGGTCCTGGGATCGAGGCCCACATCGGGCTCCCTGCTTGGCGGGAAGCCTGCTTCTCCCTCTCCCACTCCCCCTGCTTGTGTTCCCTCTCTCGCTGTCTCTGTCAAACAAATAAATAAAATCTTAAAAAAAAAAAAAAAGAAAAGAAAATCAGGTTAATATTAAATGACTTCCAGTTGGGATCTTTGGTATATATCCGAGAGAAATAAAAAGATGTACAGTTGACCCTTGAACAATGGGGATTAGGGGCACCAACCCCCATGTAGTTGAAAATTCGTGTATAACTTTTGACTTCCCTAAAACTAAACTACTACTGTTGGCCAAAAGCCTTACTGATAATATAATCAGTCAATTAATACATATTTTGTATGTTATATGTATTATATACTGCATTCTTACAATAAACAAGAAGAAGAAAGTATTTTTTTCAAGATTTTTTTATTTGAGAGAGTGAAAGAGAGAGTATGAGAGGGGGGAGGGTCAGACTCCCTGCTGAGTGGGGAGCCCAATACGGGGCTTGATCCTGGGACTCCAGGATCATGACCTGAGCCTAAGGCAGACGCTTAACCAACTGAGCCATCCAGGCACCCCAAGAAAAAAGAAAATATTAAGAAAATTTTAAGGAACAGAAAACACGTTTACAGTACTATACCGTAGGTATTGAAAGAATTCCGTGTATAAGTGGACCATCACAGTGCAAACTGTTCCTTTGACAAAAAGGAACACACAAACTGTCCTAAAGTATAAATCTACAAATAGTTTATGGGTTCAAGTCCTGATGGAGTCCTCTTCCAACCTAAACTTTCTAAAACTAAGGTCAGGTCCTAAACAAAGAAAATAAAATCTGAATATAGGATTTTAGTGCTGATATATTTCAAACAAGTTTTAGAAGGAGAAGCTACATATAATTTGAATTTGCGGCTCCTGATCAGACAGATCCTGAATGTGCTAGAAAAGCTGGGGTAGGGTGGAGAAGACAATGGAAGAAAAGAAAAATACTTTTTGAAATGTAGATAATTATCCCAAATCAAGGGTCAAAACAAGGCATTTTTATATAAAGGCTCAGATTCCATGAGAGGAAAAATTATTACTCTAACACCAGGTTTCTCAACCTTGGTGCTACTGACATTTCTAGATACTTCTTTGTTGAGGTGTGCTGTCCTGTCCATTGTAGAGAGTTAAGCAGCATCCCTGGCCTCTTCCCACTAGATGCCAGCAGCAATGCACCCTCAACCCCTAAGTGTGACAACCGAATGTCCTGGGGCGGGGGGAGGGGTGGGGCACACAAAGTCGCCCGTAGTTGAGAACCATTGGCCTAACCTTTACTTTTATTAGCTAATCTTCCTTCCTTCTTTCTTCTTTTCAAAAAACCACCGAGTAGTGCAAGAGACACACTTATACTAAAATAATTATTCACCGTGTACCTAAAATTTACCTGGGCATTTTGTATTTCTTTTTGCTAAATCTGGAAACCCTATGTGCAACAGAAATCAAAGATCTGGAATGTCACACTCCCACACTAGATATCTCCCTCACCACTTCCACTGTGCTCAACAAAACAAGTTAAAGATTCAAATAAAGATTACCAGAGATTCTTTGATAGCCCGTCTTGTTCGAACCCCAGGGATATCACAAGGCCTTGCTGATCCTAAACTATGCTACAGTTCTATGGGGGACTTACCATTGGGGTCCTTCCTGAATAGAGTGTTCATCACTGTCGCATGGAGTTTCACACTATTCCACTCTTTCACTATTAGTCCAGATGCCTGAAAACGTTCCAGCACTCGATCGACTAATTCCTGCAGCCTGAAGAAATTGAAGGAAGAAGTATAAAAATCTTAGTAAACTCTGAACCCCTGATTACCGATTCAATGTTGACGGAGTATCTGTTCTGGGCCAATCACTGTTCAAGACCCTGCAAAGGCTACATTCCCCACCACCACGGTGTTCACAGCCTTGTGGAACAGATGGACATGGAAACCATAACACTGAAATACATCATGAGGAGTGTTAAGGGAGGGACCAACCATACATGGAGAGGGCAAGGTTTTTACAGGAGGTTTAAACATGATCTTGAAGGAACATGGAAGCTCAGCATCTCAGGATAGGGCTCAAGAAGCCAGACTCAACAGAGAGTTGCCTAAAAAGAAGTGCTTTATGGCTTCATCCAGTCAGAGAACCTAACTCTACCATGTAGTCAGTATGTTTCTGCCAGGATCAAAGGAGGTCTGGTACGATTCTAAGACATTTGCTCCCTGGGAAGGAGCCTGCACTTTGAAGATCCCAGTAGCCTTGGACACTATCCCAGTGTTTCACCGAGACTGAAGTGGAGTACCGATAAAGACAACTATAGGAAAATCCACAGGCTGCATGACTCTTCCCCATGTGGACTCCAGGTAGCTCTAAGCAATAAGGGTCCTGCAGTGGCTGAGTTCTAGCTTGACGATGGCCATTCATTCTAATACCTCTCCCAAAAGCAATTCTTGCACAGAAGTTTTCATGCTGTTCAGGTGTTTTGCTCAATAGCCTGAAGAACTCCCTTTAACATTTCTTGTAAGGCCACTGTAGTGGTGATGAACTCCATCAGCTTTTGTTTGTCTGGAAAACTCGTTTATCTCTCCTTCAGTTCTGAAGAACAACTTTGCTGGCTATGCCGACAAGAGGGGTCAGCAATCTAGCAGGTGTGTGGTGAGCAGATGATGGTCCGAGGCCTCAGGAAGCAGCCATTTTCTGTGACTACCCACTCATCTGATGGTAAAATGCAGGCCTTGGCTTCTACACATTGTGCCAGAATGTCTACTCTGAGACTGAAGCAGCTTGTGCTGGATATGTGGCGGGTCCCCATGAAATGACAGGGCAGTGCGCCTGGTGGCAGTCACAGGATGCAGCCTGCCCCTTACAACCTTCCCCTCAGCCTTCTCTGAGATTTGTGCTGATGCTCACTGACTTCTCTGGTGCCAAATCATCTCCTGTGAGTCACGAGTGTACTAATGAACAATAGATTTCCCATTTTTAGATGTACTAGTAATACTCTTCGTGTCAAACATCACCTCTTTCCTGGATACAGGTAGCCCTGAGAAATTTAGAGTTCATGAGTCTTCCATTGCTTCTTGGGCCATGGCCCACGTGTAATGGCCCACAGTGTAAGCATTGTGGCCAGTGAGCAGCTACTTCTTGAGCAGGGCTAGACAGGTTTGCTTTATGTGAGATGGGGGCCAAGCCTAGCCTGTGCAGCCCATTTGTGGGAGCCTGCCTCAGGCAGAACACTCCAGCTGCAGCAACTCAGTTGCTTGATGTCTGTCTCCAAGTGGACAGCAGCCTCTAGTACCCCGACCCTCCAGGGATCTCCTCCCGAATTTAGACATGAGCAAAACAACTCTTTTTGCTTGCACTGCATGCACTGCAGCAAAAGAAAGTTACTGTGCCCCAGAAATTGACTCGGAAACATAATTATTTTCCCTTTCATGGTTTTCAGGCTCCAAAGTTCCAAATTAATCTTCTTAAAATCCTAATTTACCTTAATTGCTTTTTATGAAATACTGTCTACTAATCAAGAAACATGTATAACATGAGTAAGCCATAATTAATAATAATAACAATAAAGTAAATACCCATGTCCCCTCTACTGAACTTCAGGACCAGAACACAGGGCTGGGACTAGGGCCGAAGTAAGTGAGGAAATGACCTCGGGCACAAATTTAACGGGGTGCCAAAAAATGCAGTAACCAAAATAAATCATGTTTTAATGCAATATTTTAAAAAATCAAATTTAATGCCAAAAAAAAAAAATCCATGATGAACAGAATACCAAAATTTTGAATGAAGATGAGATCAATGTTGCTGAGTTATCCCTTTGCGTCAGGCTCCAGTGTGGCCCGGCACAGGGTAGAACATTACAACACACCAGTCCCTCAAGATGCTCCGGGCTCTGGAGAACCCCGTGACTCCACACGGCCTCGTGACCTCAGCACTACTCAACACGCACGTTTTCTTATCGGGCTTCCTCCACTCAGCTTGACAACTGCCACCTCTGTGCCTTCTGTTCTCTGAGCCACAGGATCCACCCCCTCCCTCCACCTATGCAGATCTTATCATCCTTCCAGGCCCAACTCAAATCTCACTCTTCCATGAAGCCTTTCTAAACCCCCTAAGACCCCATTCACTCCCCTGTATCTGTGAGCGGTGATTCTGCCCTTCTTTGAAATGCCACTCTACTTATGTGTGCTCTACTTAGCATTCTCAGGGACAGTCTCTTGCTGTTTCAAGTCTCTCTGTCCTGTTCCCCTACTAGATTGCATGCTCCTCAAGAGCATGTTATATTTTCTTGTATCTTCCAGAACACCATTATACTTGGGTTTCAGTAACTACTGGCTGTGATTGGTTAATTGATGGATGTGACTGGTTAAAAAGTGAGAAGTGAGGAGCGCCTGGGTGGTTCAGTCAGTTGGGTGTCCGACTCCTGGTTTCGGCTCAGGTCAAATCTCATAGGTTGTGAGATTGAGCCCCCAAGTCGTGCTGCATGCTTGGCAGGGAGTCTGCTTGAGGTTCTCTCCCTCTGCCATTCCCCCCACTTACACACACACTCTCTCTTAAAAAAAGTGGGAAGTAAATGTAAAAAATAAAATAAACATGGTCGTGAAGGATCGCCGAAGACTCGCAGATAAAACTGGTAAGGAAAAACACTTCGAGCAGAAGAAATAGTACAAAGATGCCAAAGCACGCACGGTCACATCATATTTGGAAAACTGCTGATTACTGAATATAGCTGTAGCAGTGAGCGAAGGAAAAGGAACAATGGAGACGAACTGGGTAGAAGTGGTGGTCAGACCATCAGAAGCCACAGAGATTTTAAGAAGAGAATGATGTGGTCAGATGTCCGTTTCTGAAAGCTGATGCCGTAGCAGAGTAGAAAACATTTTAGAAGAACAGACCGGAGAGAGAGAGGGTGGCTAGAACAGTGTCAGGCATTATTTTAAGCACTCGATATCTGTTAACACATTTCATCCTCACAATGTATTATTATCCCTATTTTACTAATGAGGGAACTGAGGCACAGAGAAGTTATAAAACTTGACCAAAGTCACATAACTAATACGTGACAGATCCAAAATCAGAACCCATGCCATCGGGCTTCAGAGTATGGGCTTTAAGGACTGTGCTATGAAGGGGGAAAAGGAGGAACACCTAAACTATGGCAGGGGCAATGAGAACCAAGACAAGAGAACGGCTTCACAAGAGCTGTGTGAAAGAGAAGCCGGTGCCCTCAGACATGGCTGCATTCAAGCACAGAGAGCAGCTGAGGTGACTCACAAGAGTCTGCCTTACATGACCAGGTGGGCCACTGACCAAGATGGGCAGCTGTGGAGAAGCAATTGCTATTGTTATGCTATGTCATTCCAAGGAGAGAATTAATGCTGTGTAGCTTTTGAATATGTGACATGGGACATCAAGTAGGACAGGTCCAGGAGAGGGATGGAAATACAAGCCTGAAACACAAGAGAAAAATCTGGACAAAAGATACAGATCTGAGGGGTACCTCGGTGGCTCAGTCGGGTAAGCGTCCTCTTGATTTCAGCTCAGGTCATGATCTCAGGGTCATGAGACTGAGCCCCGTGTCGGGCTGCGCTCAGTGCAGAGTCTGCTAGAGATTCTCCCTCTGCTCCTCCCCCCACCCCCCACCCCCGTGCACACACTCTCTCTCAAATAAATAAAATCTTAAAAAAAAAAAAAAAAGATACAGATTTGGGAGTCATGAGTGCGAAAGCAGTAAGTAAAAGCATGGGTTAGATGCAGTTACAGTGGGAAGGAGGATTTACAGTAAGCCATAGGGACAGCTAAGGATGGAGCCTTAAGGGACACTCCTATGGAAGGGGCAGAGAAGGAACCAGCAAAGATCATCAGCAAAGAGGAATCAGAAAAGACTTCAGGGGCGCCTAGGTGGCTCAGTCGTTAAGCGTCTGCCTTTGGCTCAGGTCATGATCCCAGGGTCCTGGGATTGAGCCCCGCATCGGGCTCCCTGCTTTGCGGGGAGTCTGCTTCTCCCTCTCCCACTCCCCCTGCTTGTGTTCCATCTCTCGCTGTCTCTCTGTCAAAAAAAATAAATAAAATATTTTTTAAAAAAAAGAAAAAGACTTCAGAAGAGGACTTCAAAAAGGCTGAAAGGAGAATTACAGGAGGGAAAAAAAAAATCAGCACAGTACAATGCCACAGAAAGGCTCCTCCCCCATTCATGCTCTCTGTCTTTCTCAAATAAATAAATCAGAACAGGAACCCAACACGGCCTACTTACTTCTCACAGTCACAGCGTACTGCAGACCTGTGCGGAAGCAGCTGTGCTAGCACGCAAGATGGAAGGAAGCCTTGGTACGAGGACCCAGGCAGAAACCGGAGGGGGGAGGGGCTAAGTGCACATCAACTCTTTCCAGAAACTCGAAAGGAAGCAGGGAAACCAATGCCTTGAGAATTCAAATGTACAGAGTTGAGGGCAGGTTGTTTGTGTTTGTTTTCGATGAGGAGAAAGAACTGAAAATGCCTACTGAGAACAAGAAATTATCCAACAGAGAAGAAAGATAAAACTTCAGGCAAAAGAGGGAATTGACGGAATAAGATCTCGAAGGAGACAGGAAGGACTGATGTGCCCCAGGGGATGGGAATACAGAGGTGAACAAGCCTCTGCCTTGAGCAGCTTACACACTAGTGGAAGGAGGCAGATGGGCAGTAGACACATATACGCATACTACATCAGGTGGTGGTATGCGCCGTGAAGAAAATGGAACAGGAAAGAGGGATGAGAATACCACTGGGAG